CAGTTTTCCATGACTGGCATATAACCATTCATTTTAGCTTTTAAACTGGTTATATTGATCCCGTGTCCAGACAGAAGGATGATCAGTAGCCTAGCATCATGACCTGCTTGTTCTGAAGATCCTGCAGCTTCCACTTCTTTTCCTAACATGGCGCCTCCTCACCTTGACTCTCATACTGATAGGAGGAACCACAGAGCTCAGAAAACAGGTATCTGTTGGGGGCAAACACACTTTTAAAAACTTTTAGAATTTAAAATAAGCATATCATTTTTAGGTGGGTTTTTAAGTTATGTTTATTAGAGTAATACTATGAAAAGTCTAGCATCTTTAAGCACATTTCCTAGAAAACATTTTTTTAATACATTTAAATAATCATAAATAAGCTTTCCATTAAATTTCATCTCTGGATTCTGTTATCACTGGACACTGGATTGTATTGTTGCTCTTTGAAGGGGAGCCAGTCTGATTTTAGGGATATTTGTTAGTGACATTTTTACTATGGAAAAACACGCACGCACGCATGCACACAAAAACATTGTTATGCAAGCAGTGTAGTGGAACTGTAGAGATTGGGAGCTGTAGTACGGAGCCATACTGTCAGAAGAGATAATGTTGAGATAAAACCTGACGTTTTTGGAGTTTTCTTCTTTACAGCATACAATATTTTGCATAAACAATATTCATAAGGCTAAAAGGAAGTGCTTACAAATAATAAGCAATCCCCACACTTATAAAATTTTAAGTCAGGTTGCAGTTCTTTTTTTTTGTTTTTGCAGCTGACAAAGCAATTTTGCAGGATAGAGCCTGGATCTGCATGCTTTTTTTGTTCCAATTTCCACTATAACTTTCCATTGTTTTCCACTCACAACTCTCTTGTTGGGGTCATGTTTCCTGTTAATCAGCCAGCTGCAACAACTAGTCAAAGGTTTTCTAAAAAAAAATAACAAAACACTTTTAAATGTGTATTTATAGTGGGTTTTCACTTCATTTTTGAAAGTTTTTTTATTATGAAATATCTTCAAAAACAGCAGTTAGTTTTAAAAGAAAAATCCAAATCACAACCGAAATTAAGATCTTATTCCAAAAGACCTGAGTATAATTTCCAGTCTCTGGAGTTAGATTAAGCCTTTGTCAAGATTTAATTCCTCACCTGTTTTTTTCCTTGCACTTGAAACTGTAATATGTTGACTCTGACTTGTTAAACTTTACCTCCTTGTTTTAGGGTTAATAGTCACTGATTGCTATGCAGTGAGAGGAGAACATCATAGATTTGCTGCACCAGCATTATGTCCCTTTTATTGCTAGAAAGCCAACTGCTATTTCAATGGACAATGGTCTGAAAAGAAAAATCAATACCAGAGCACAAGCTTTGCTTAATGAAATCAATGGTTTCTGTCTCTAGAGACAAGTCTGTTTCTTTGAGTGTGCACTGCACACAAATGTGAGAAATCACCCATGTAATTAATTATATCCATAAACTACACCTAGAATTAACTGCTGGAGTGGGAAAAACAATAAAGACAATAAAGTTGTCTAAAAGAGAAAAAAATTATTTGCTTGCTAGCCTATTAGTGACATTAAGCATGTTGAGGATATAAGATGAGAAACTGTGCTGTGGTCTTACAGGTAGGAAGAGTCTCTGAGCAGCACAGGGTTTGAAGAGCTTCTTCCACTCCTCAGCGTCGCCCACAGAGAAAGAGATGGGATAGATGCTGTACTGGAACCTAGCTGAGACCGACTGAGGCCACTGGTTCAGCTGCATGGGAAGATATACACATCTCATGAAAATATATTTCAAATAAAGGCAAAAAGGAAGTAAGATATGCACCAGGAAATTGGCTGGTGACCAGTACAGAGCAAAAATACGCTTAATGATTGAGGATTGGATAATCACAGATAGTAGCTGCATTTCCATTTATCATATCATTGCGCAATTTGAAATTTAAAAAATAAATTTGCTTAATGGAAATACACCAATTTAGAGTCCATCATGGTGGAGCGGGGGGAGTTTTGAAGAGAGTGACATCACATGCAAAGGGTCATATTGTCAAATTGGTTTTCTTTATTCACTTGTGTTTATTTGCCTACTTAACAGCTTAAGAGTTTGATTTGACCATCAATAAGTGTCCGTATGAATCCTAAATGACCATTATAATTGGTGGCTGATCGATCGGCACACCACTAGAAATAAATTTTACAGAAGCTACAGCCTAAATAAAGAATAGATAAAAGTAGCTGAAGGTCAAGCTCATAGAAAGTGAATATGTCTTTGCTAATCAGTGAATTTTGATCCAGAATTGGCTTTGAGAGTCACAAGGACTTGGCAAGCACCTACCTTGAGTCTCTTAGCACTGTGGCTGCTCCTACATTCCTCCCTGTTCAAAGCCAGCATATGTGCAACACTATCCAAGCTCAGACTGCCATAATTCCCCTTTTTTCCTCCCAAACAAGAGTCAACACACAGCACTGATTCAGCATGCATGAAGGCAGGCTTGTAAACTCAATATTTGAATGAATGCTTTAGTGTTAAGTTTGAAGTTCATTAATTGGAATTGTTTATGTAGCTGGTGACTTACAACATTACTGGAAAGATCTCACACCATGTAAGGTTGATCTAAAAATCTTAGTTATGTAATATGTTCCTGTTTTGAGACAAAACATCAATATCTGCCTGTAAGCACTGAGAAGAAGTGGTATGTAATCTATTACCAGGGAAAAGACACACCATAGATACAAAAACCTAATGACTTTTCATGGAATCGTTGCATGCATTGAATCCCTGGTTCCAGTGTGACATTATTGAGCCATTTAACAACTTGTACACATACTCCTAGAATTTGCATGATGAAGGTCTCTTACCCTTTCTTCAAACTCAGGCGCCAAGGAGTCCTCAGCAAAAATGTGAAACTTGATCTTCTTCAAGCTGAATAGCAAGGCCGACTTGAGCATTGTGAGGGTCTCATCCAGACGTTTCCCACAAGCCACCACAGCTAAGTGCATGACTTCCTCAGGTCGCCTGCGCCTGGTCACAGGTCGGATCATTTTGCCCAGAAATTTACTGGAATACACGAGAGAAAAAAAGCTTAAGATATGAAACACAGATGAATGACCAATAAAATATAGAGGGGAGACATAATAACAATAATAATCCAGATATGAAGAAATTACTGCCAGAATTAATTTGGGGTGTCAAGTTTTTAAACCTACATGTGCTTATAGATATCAGGAATGAGAAAGATGATCATTTCCTGTATTGGTTGTTGAATAGTTTATGTTCTGCAAGATTTTAATACTACTACACAAAATGTATGGGCATAAAGCCATGTCTTTTTCTAACAATATATTACAAAAGAAACCAAAGTTAGGTTGCAATTAGAAACCTACACTCAGTAAAATGCATTTAGATATTTGAAAAAAACAAAAGGACTTGTTTGACATTTACTTCAATCAATGTTATATTTTTTAAAGTTACAAATAGAGTTTTCAATACCAAAATTTCTTTTCATGTTCATTTTAAGGTGTCATCATTTTGGCACCATGCCTACAAAAGTATAGAGTCCACAGTGTTTCTCTGCATCAGGATGGGATAACTTACTTTTGTCCAGATGTCAGAATTTATTCTATAGATTTGATCAACTGACACTCTAGTAGGGATGCACAATATGGACTTTAAATTGCATTAAGATATTTTGAGGTATTTATTGCAACTATGATCAAAGTGAGGATAAAAAAGTATTTACAACTTCCCTGCAATCTTTTTTATGTCTCTTACTGCATACAAATACTGTTCTTAAAAGACAAACCCAGCTTCAAAATAGGCAACTTCAGGACACCAGCTACATAAAGATGTGAGATTTTTGTGGCTAATGCTCTCATGAACCAACATTGGAGAAAGTAGTAAAATTAACAATACCAACAATTTTTATTTACTTTTTTTTTATACTGACAATTTATCATTGTCAGCATAAATCAAAATCCTTATCACAATGTGAATTTTTTCACATCAACAATAAACAATACAATAATTGCCCATCCCTACGCCCTAGCTTTTTGACTCGGCTCTCTCTTCACCATGGCAGACCGGTGCAGTGCCCACTTCACTGCAGATGCTGCGCCATCCACCTGTCGATCTCCCATTCCATTTTTCCCTTATTCGTGAACGAGATCTCAAGATACTTAAACTCCTCCACTTGGGGCAGGACATCTGCCCCGAAGAAGAGAAGGCACTCTACCCTTTTTAGGCTCAAGACCATGGACTCGGATTTGGAGGCACTGATCCTCATCCTTGCCGCTTCACACTCGTCTGCGAACCGCTCCAGTGAAAGCTGTAAATTGTGACCTGATGAAGCCAGTAGGATCACGTCATCTGCAAAAAGCAGAGATGGCCACCAAAATGGATCCCCTCAACACCTTGGCCATGCCTAGAAATTCTGTCCATGAAAGTAATGAACAGAATCGGTGACAAACGGCAGCCTTGGCAGAGTCCAACTCTTACTGGAAATGAGCCCAACTTACTGCCGGCAATGCAGACCAGACTCTGACAGCGGTCATACAGGGACCTAACAGCCCGTAAAGGGCCCACTACCCCATTTTCCCAGAGAACCCACCACAGGGTTCCCCGAGGGACACTGTCAAATGCCTTCTCTAAGTCCACAAAACACATGTAGACCTGTTGGGTGAACGCGAACTCCCAAGCACCCTCCAGGACCCTGCTGAGGGTGTACACTGCTCTTCCTGAATCCAAGGTTCGACTATCCAATGGACCCTCCTGTTCAGCACCCCTGAATAGACCTTGCTAGGGAGGCTTAATAGTGTGACCCCTCTGTAATTGGAGTACACCCTCCGGTCCCCCTTTTTGAACAAGGAGACCACCATCCCAGTCTGCCAATCCAGGGGGACCTCCCCCGATGTCTATGTGATATTGCAGAGTCGCGTCACCCAACACATCCCTACAATATCGAGAGCCTTAAAGAAGTCCAGGCAAATATCAACCACAGAGTCCCCAGTCTGAATCCAACAGTCTCACTCAACATAAGGGATCCCGTTCTGCAGAGAGACCTGGTCTTCATTTACTGAGTTTGTAAAAAACACAAACATCTCATAAAGCTATAGAAACTTTTCTAAGACTAATTGGAAGCCTTGCCCAATTTAGTAGTTTCCATGAACTATGTAGGTAACTCCACCTCCTCCCAAGGCACCATGCCCCCTATGATCTTTTTTCCTCTTTTTTAATTTATATATGCCTTCATGTGTATATGTGTCTATATATATTTTGTTATTTATTGTTGTTGTATGTTTATTCTTATTACTTTATTTATTTAAATTTTCATTGTGCACTGGGACAAACAAAATATCTCCCTCTTAGGGAATCAATAAAGTATTATTATCTTATTATCTAATTTTATCTTATATACACATTTATTTACTTTATTTTATTTTATTTACTTTCTCTCTCTTTCTTGGGTTGCTTTGTTTATGTTTTGTGAACACGTTATCTGAATATACTCTACTTCTGTATGTTAAATTGAAAAATATACAAATAAAGTTCTAAAAAAAGAAAAAAAGACCAAACAGAAATGTGTCTTTGTTTGGTAAACGTGGTGTGCCATGCACAGTGGACCATGTTGAAGGACTGCTCCCCACATCTGGAAGCAGTCAATGGAAGCCATTGCAGTTGCCAGAGAGACAGCAGGACATGAGCTCTCTGTCTGCAAAGCAGCACCACAGCAAGGTTTATTAGCCCGACTTATATATATGCAAAGAAAAGAAGGGCAAAAATTTACAGCATGATTAACAATAACGCGGAAGAAAAACTGAGACATGCAGAGGGAACAACCAGAGCAACAGTTGTACCAAAGCACAACTTCAGGGCTTTTTAGCAATTAGAATGGAACTGGGTCATTTAATGGACTCTGTAGCTGCCGGAATCAAAGACATTCTCTGAACATCTGAGGAAGGAACAAAGCAGAGCTCTTTCACACAAGTGATTCCCTAATCAATCGCCGAAGGAATGGAAGTGGCATTATTTGCCACCGGAAAGTCTGACTAAAGAACTGCTACTGTTTGAGGTTATTTAGATGTACTGTACTTTGTTTCACTTTTCTGAGTTCAATAAAAATCAGATCAAGATTGGGAATATATATTAAATAGCAAAAGTCTTGGAACTTCTTTATTACAGCACAATCTCTTCTCTACTAATGTCAAAATCAGAATTGGTGGAAAGCAGCGCATAATTGTCAACACTCACCCAGATGAGCATGACTGTCAGAAAGCTAAGCACAAAATCTAAAAAATAATTTAAATCATAGTTAGCAGTGCAAGACGCTGGGTTCTGCTCTGGCTGTTGGACCGGCTCTTTGAGCTACTGAGACGTAACAGTTTACAGATGTATTGGACGTTTACCAGACAGTGGACTCTCACATCTAACATCTCCTTAAAGCTGCAGCATGTAACTTAAAAAAAAAACATATTGAAACTTTTGCTGTCCTAAGATGAGATAAATACTCTATGAAAACAATCGAGCTCCTCTGCCTTCTCCAGGCACAAAACAGATAGCCATGCTCACAGGGAGTTTTGCATTAGAATTGTTTATTTTAATGCAACCTGCATTTGACTTTGAATGAATGTTTCCTTAGCTCCCAATGATTCATTTAGCTGTAATTTCCAAACACGTATACAGCAGACTTCTCCTGATGAGACTCTCACGGTGAGTCTCATCAGGCTGCTCAGGCAAGCAAGGAGATCTCAAAACACCCAGAGCAGAGAGAGCGCTCAGTCATACAAGACGACATTTTTATGGTTCTGTGTAATGTTGCGGTGAGAGAGTGACTTCTTTACTGCCAGAAACGCTGCTTAACTATAGTTGAAGTGACAGGGCAAAAGATTTGTTTCAACACAAAACATCAACAGAATCCTGAACCTGAACATATGCAGGAAAGAAGGCAGTTTCTCAAACCAAATGTTGTGGAGAAAGACTACTTTTTTCCCTGACACCAAAGCAGAGATGAATAAGTACTACTTGAAATCATGAATGCTTGTCACCTCCTGTTGATTGTGACGCATGGTGGTAGACGTTTAATGGTTTGGGCTAGTAGAGCCACTGGGTCATTCACCAAGGTTCTTGAATAACTCGGAGTACTCCTCTGTATACCAAAATATTCTAGCATCCAGTGTGAAAGTATTTCACTGGCCAGGTTAAATACAACATCTCAGTCACAAGTTGACTGAGATGTTGCAACAAACGGCCACAGACTTCAAGGAAATGATGGAGTGTTTTAAAGAAGCATGCAGTCATGAAGTGCATCCTTTAGGGAACTGTTGCAAAGATGTTTATACACACCACTAACTACAGCAGATAACTTTTTGACTTACGGTTGACTAAAGATTTGGGATACAAAGAGAAATAAGGTGGATTCCCCATTTTCAGCTTGACCAGTCACCAGTCACCCAGAAATGTTAAATGATTTTGTTAGATAAGCATATTATATTGCGTCATATCAATCGCAGACTTGAGAATCGAACTGAATCGAAATTTGTATCATGACAGACTTTGTCATATCAAGAGACATATCGTCATCTAAACAAATTGATACATTGTGATTAGGCCTGTCACAATAACAAATTTTACTGGATAATAAATTGTCCCATGATTGAGACCATTTAAGCAATATAGTGATATTCCCACAGAAATGTGAATATTAGTAATAGTACTAATCAAAATGGAAATTGAGCTCATCTAAATTTATCATGCAATTAACTGATTAATTGCTTATTGTGAAAAGCTTAGTATCATCATCTAAACAAACTCATACAATATCACATTGCAAAGGACAAAAATCATAAAACATGAAAAACATAAGGGATGTACTTAGGGTTGCCATGATAACACTGTCTGAGGAAAATGCTTCACAAGTATTTGCAGGAGAGAACTACGTCATGAAGGCGATCAGCCTCTGGGGAGGCGAGGAGGACACCAGAGAGGCCACATTTACAGAAGTCCACACATTTTTCTATCATGGAGGAGGCCACAGAAGCAAGTCAAAGCTTTACAAAAACCGCAGATTAAATATCTAGTAAATATGACTAAAGAACCATTTTAAAAGTAAGAAAAATGTCTGTACTTTGAGCAAAACTGTGACAACAGTTTTAATTGTGAGGATGAGGGGATAAACTGGAGCCATTTTTTCCTCTATTTTTGGCTGCAGGAAGTGATGTGATGTGTCCAGAGGAAATTTAAAGATTAAAATTTGGACATGTGTTCATCTGGTAAGTCTTGCAGGAAATCTGTCTGGCTTTCCGACTTATAGACGAACAGCACAGGAAGGAGCGGATTCACCACGGAATAGGGATTGAAAAGGACAAGCACAAGTAATTTCTGTCCCAGAATATTAATCTGGCACTGCATGAATGATCCCATCCTAGCATTTTCACCCTAATCGTCTGTAGCAAAAAAAAACCTGGACTTTTTCTTCACTACCTCCTCTAATCTTAGCAGTCACTCTGCAACATTTTTCATCTGGTTAAGTCTCTTATTTCCTCTCCTTTTTTTCTCTAAGCGGGCCCACCGGTGACCCTTTTCCACCCATCTCCCTTATCAATACCAAGCACACGCAACAGCGGCGTGCCTTCTGCAAGGACGCAAAGGACTTTTCCTCAGTGCAATGCCTTGATGGCTCTTTATCTAGCGAGCGGTGTCTGGGGGCTCCAGCCCCGGCGTCTGTGCTGAATACATATTACGGTAGAGGGGGGGTGTCTCCACTTGTGACGCTGTCAGTCAGACTGAAGGTGAAAGCACAAGGGATGCATGAGGCTCAAGAACATAAAAACACTGGGTCCATCCTGTGTAGCAGAAAGCGAAAGTGACGTTCCAAGCCTGATCAGAGATTTTCTGTAACTCCCCAAAAAGAGAGAAAAAGAACAACAAAAATAAATAAATAAAATAAAAAAATAGATCAGATAACTTTCAGCTGAACAGGATGGGCTTCCTTTATATGCTGCTTCTAATAATATCTCACTCAGTTTGTACACATGTGCAATTCCTTTTTTTATTATTATTAATGCAAAACCTGTCTATCAAGGTCACTTTTGTACCTTTAAGTCAATTAGAAGAATAAGATGACGTCTAGTTCCTACAAAATGGGGTTAAATTATAAACATACTGACAGTAGGGGATGATTTACTGCCTCCTGTAGTGTCTATGCACGCATTACCATACGTTTATACATATTTTCAGCCAAATACATTATGTTAAATGCACAAAAGGGAGAATCTTTACAGATGAAGCTTCGCCCTTGATCACACATTTTTGAAATAGAGGAATTCAGTTTAAAATATGACTAAAAAGACACTAAAGAAAGAATGATGAGAAGGTTGGCTCCTAAGCAAAGAGAGGTACAAACTGTCTTTTTTACCTTTTTGCATTCACGCTGCCCTCTCTTCCAGTCGCCTTGCCCTCTTTTCTCTCCACACGCTCGCCGACTCCAGTGGCTGATTTTCTGGCCAACTTCGCCACGGCGTCACTTCCCACATACTCGACGAGAAGCGAAGGTGGGGATCTGCCGACCTCCTCCAACTGCCGATCCCCTCCAACTTCCTTTGGCGGCGGCTCGTCAGCGCCGCCGTTCCCCCCGAAGAAGTACACAAGTAGAAAAACTCCGAAACCCACGGCGATCGCAACTACTTTGCAGTGGATTCGCATGGTGAGAATGACTTGTTGCGGGTGGAAGAAGCGACGGCCACGGCCGAGCTCATGTCTACGGCGGAGGGCGAGCGGCCCAAGTTGGCATTTTTTGTCACCGCACCCCGCTCGCAATTTTCTGCAGATGATGATGGAGAGCGGAGAGCGCTTTCTCAGTCCATGGAGGGTTTTAGACGGCGGAGGAGGGGTTTCTACAGCTTTACCGTAATGATGCACGTACAGCTAAAGTTGCACGTACATTGCAAAAGTGGTCGTGTACTTTTATCTTGTATTCACAATTTCTAAAGTATATGCATTTGACCACATGTTTACAAGTACCCGGAGTTACGCACATTTTTTAACGGTTTACAAATCATGTTTCACAGATACAGCTATCCAAAGTTACACACAAAGAAGCTTAAACGGAATATAAATCCAGTATTACACACGTACAAGTATTTTGAGACTATTTTCTCTCCACAGTCGTGCCATATTTTCTTAGGTTGTAATATCACAAACTTCTGAGTATTTTATTGGGATTTAATGTGATTCCCAAAACAAAGTAGTGCATAGAGTTGTTAAATTATTTGATGGATTGTTTCAGGATTTATTATAATACTTTGCATCACCACTTCTTTGCTGTAAAAAAAAGCTGCAACTCTGGGGACCTACCAGTTGACACATCCAGACAACAGAGTTGTGCAGTACTGCCTATTTTGGTATCAATGCCATACCAAGTACAGGGCCAGTATGGCCGATATAAATACCAATACTTTCTATTACTCATGAACGATATAGACTGAAACTTCTTACCTTTAAGGTGTTTTTGTGGTTTATCCTTTGAATTGCTTTGCTAAATTTTAGGACAGAATTTGGGTAAAGTTTATAGGTGTCTACAAAATATTTAAATTATACATATAATTGCATTTATTCCTAGAGAAAGTGCAAAATATTATTTGAGAGCAAATTAAACACAAAAACTCTTTTGAGCTAGGGTTGAGAGACTAATAAAAAATTAGGAATAAAATTCAAAGAGCAAATGTGAACCTGAAGTATTGATCTTGCCATATTTGGTGGTACTTTTGGACTTCCATATAAACCCATAGATAGAGATAGGAAATATATTCAGGAGCAGTATCTCACTATAACAAGAAATCTTCTTGTTACAATGAGATGCAAAACTCGTTAAAACAAGAAATGTTGATGCCAAAATCATTACACAAAGAAAATTAATGCAAAACTCATTAAAATGACAAGTTTTCTCATGTAGACAAGAAACTCTAGATAAAACAAGTTTCTTGTTACAAGAAGAAACGTTCCTGTTTAAACGAGTTTTGTATCTTGTTAAAAAGAGAACATTGCTCATCATGAGATATTTCTCCTGAATTTATTTCATAGGCTTGGCAGTTAAACACTTGCATAGCCACTCGGTTTCTTCCAGATGTCAAACGTCCTGCAAAGTATCCCTACATGTGTTTAAACATGAAGATTTTGATTTTAATGAGATATAAATCTTGTTATGACAAGTTTTATATCTTGTTATAACAACAGAAATTCTTTTTATAACAATAAACTTCCTTATTTTAAACAAGTTTTGCATCTCATTATAAAGAGAACATTTTTTAAATGTTTTTTTTTTTTTTACAAAACTCTGGAAAAAATCCATATTATTTAGTTTTTCTATATTTAGGACAGGTTAGGAATTAGGCAGGGTACACTTCAAGCTGAAACTTCAACCTGTGGGACTAAATTTATGCAGTAATTTTTTGTTAATACACATTTGAAAATATCCAGAAACAAATTTACTCACTGTGCAAAAGTGAGTGAAGAAAATACATTGTAGTTTGAAATATGACTTTCATAAGACTCACTATTTTATACCCCGTGCGTATATATTTACTGAGCTTCTTGTTTTTATCTCAGACTCATTTGAACTGCGGTTTAACACTTCATATTACGGTAAAATATGGACGCGAGATTAAACGGCAGTGAGAGCTTCTTGGTATAGCCCAGCTTGTTTGGGGTGAGTTATTTATTTTCCTGTATATTTTTAAGTATCGTAACAGTGTCCTTAAACAGTTCGCCTGTAGCGCATGGGACTGAGCAAAAATCTTCTTTCAGCTGCTACATTGAAAGGCACGAGGACATACATCACGTGTTAGCTTCCTGTACGCTACATCGGCTAGCTAACTGTAAACAGAACTCTCTTTAAAAACCATTGAAATTACCATAAGTTTTGTGTCCGCGGCAAAATGTTTTGTTTCTTGGACAAGCATCTAATAATTTACGATGCTGGTGACGTATGTTTAATTTCGGGCCACGTACAAACGAATTAAACTATTTATTTACAGATACTTAGCGCTAAAAAGTAATTTTAAGCCTTCATCTTTGGGTTTGCCAAGTATCAGGAAAATGTTGTGCTTTTAATGATAAAGCTAATGCCCGGGAAATATGTTAGATGTTACAGGTTGGAATACTTGTCCAAAAAAAATTATTCTGCTCAAACCTTTGTCAGTACATAAAACCTCTTTTCATATCCGTTTTGGAAGTTACCAATGTGTTTTCGGTATTGGGCAGAACGTCTGATAAGTAAACCATTCTCCTTAGAAAACATGCTATTTTTTTATCTATTGCGCTGTTGCACTTTTTGTTTACAATCTTGCCTGTTAGAAACATGGGTCTTCTGCAATATCCTCCTGACTACCAGGAAAAAAAAAATATTGTCCAATCACCATTTTTTTTTAAATCCCACAGTCTTTCTAAGGTAATAAAAGGTTTTATGCACTTACTTTGTCTCTTCCCATAAAATGTGTTATTACTGATGAACTCCATNTTTNTNAATTAGAAAAAGTACGTACAAAAGTCCCACCCCTTCACTGTGGTATCATTGAAAAGCCCTAAATGTCCTCTCCAGATACCAAAAGGAATTAATTCAGTAGAATGCAGGGGGTGATGCAGGGGGTGGGAGATATTCAAGTTTAGAAATGTCCTCTACAGAGGACAAAAATGAACTACTACTGGTAGTCAGGAGGATATGACCAAATTGTCAATAACCACGTCCTCCACCAGGTGGGGAGCTGGGTGCTATATTAAAAACTTGGTGCCTTTAGTTGGAATGCAGTGAGTGAACTGATGATTCTTGCTGTCTTCTATGGAGGACCAAAACTGACATAATAAAAAAAATAAAAGCATATATATTTAGTTTTTCCTTGTCCTTACACATGAGTTTCCGTCAAGAAATGTAGTGATCCCTCGCTGTAACGCGTTTCACCTTTCTCGTTCTCGCTGCTTTGCGAATTTTTTTGTGCAGTTTTTTTCACAGTGCATCCTGATTGGCTAAACAGTCTCCGAGCTCCTTCTCTACCTGTGTGCCAATAACGTTACGGTATTTAAATATAAGTAATACAGCTTGGCCATTCAGGAGATGGAAACTGAAACTTTGAATGCCAACTGGAAAAAACTGTGGCCAGAGGCAGCAGAACCCGAGCGCTTGCTTGACGAGCTCCATCGCTCTGTCGTAGATACAGCTGTGAATCTCGCGGCTCAGGTTGGAGGAGACACTTTAATGACATGACTCCGGATCACATTAAGGCCCGATTGATGAACACGCACATCCGCTGACCTGAAAACAGGTTTTGTTCTTTGGTTTCAATGTAGAGTATTTAATTATGCTGTATAATAATTGTAAGAACTAAAGGTAACTAC